AGCTTTTTTGAATGGCGTATTGGAGGAAGAAGTCTACATTGATCAACCTTTGGGCTATAAGGTTGAAGGACAAGAAAATAAAGTCTTGAAATTGAAAAAAGCTTTATATGGGTTGAAGCAAGCTCCGCGGGCTTGGAATAGTAGAATTGATAAATATTTTCAAGCAAATGGTTTTTCAAAATGTCCACATGAACATGCACTTTATGTAAAAATTGCTAAAAATGGAGACATTTTACTTATTTGCTTGTATGTAGATGACTTGATTTTTACAGGAAATAATCCTAAGATGTTTGAAGAATTCAAGGAAGCAATGGCTAGAGAATTTGAGATGACGGATATTGGATTAATGTCCTACTATCTTGGCATTCAAGTGCAACAAAGGAAGGATGGGATTTTTATTTCTCAAGGAGAATATGCAAAGGAAATTCTCAAGAAGTTCGAGATGGATAATTGCAATCCCGTGAGCACCCCCGTTGAATGTGGAGTTAAAATATCCAAGCATGGAGATGGAGAAAATGTAAATCCCACATTTTTCAAGAGTCTTGTTGGAAGCTTAAGGTACTTGACATGCACAAGGCCGGATATTCTTTATGGTGTTGGACTTGTGAGCCGCTTTATGGAAGCTCCTACTACCTCCCATTTAAAGGTAGCAAAAAGAATACTTCGGTACATCAAAGATACACTTGATTATGGAATTCTTTATTCATCTTCTAAGGATTCTAAGTTTGTGGGATATTGTGATAGTGATTGGGCTGGTGATATTGATGATCGTAAAAGTACTACTGGGTTTGTTTTCTTTCTTGGAAATTCTGCATTTACATGGAATTCTAAAAAACAACCAATTGTTACTTTGTCAACTTGTGAGGCGGAGTATGTTGCAGCTTGCTCATGTGTTTGTCATGCAATTTGGTTAAGAAGTTTGTTGGAGGAACTTCACCAACCACAAAAGGATGCCACAAAGATTTTTGTTCGGCTATCGAGTTAGCCAAAAATCCTGTATTTCATGAAAGGAGCAAGCATATAGATACAAGGTATCACTTTATTAGAGATTGTATATCTAATAAAGTTGTGGAGCTTGAGCATGTGAAGTCGCAAGATCAAATTGCGGACATTTTCACCAAGCCATTAAAGATTCAAGTTTTTCAAAAGCTAAGGATGGCGCTTGGAGTGATGAAACAAGTTTAAGGAGGGATGTTAAAATTATAATAAACTTGTTTCCATTAGTTCACATTTATATTAAATATGTTTAGATTAGTTCATATTAGTATGAGATGTATGAACAAGTGTAGACTAATGTGAACTTCATTATATGTATGAACTAGTGTAGACTAATGTGAACTTCATTATGAGATGTATGAACTAGTGTAGACTAATGTGAATTTAGTTAGTGTGTTTACATGAAGTTTAGGCTAGATACATGTAGGAGTTCTACTATAAATACCCATGTATGCTAGCCATTTGGAACAAGTCAAGTTGAATGAAAAATATCATTTCTTCTCCATTCTTAAAGTGAGTTGTGAGTGTTTGAGTGTTTTGTTGTCTTGCTCTCCCAAATTAATTTTTTTTTCCAACATCTTTGTCGTATGTCCTCCACGAACTAACTGTGTGTATTGTTAAAGAATGTTACAAATACAAACATACTCTGTGGACGCATCATGTACGTGATAGAATGTAGTGGATCCATATTGTATTGACCAGAAAATAGAATTACAAATCTAAACCAAATTCTCAAAGTAGCAACAACCAAATGAAAACTTAAAAGAGGAAAATGAAAAAAAAGAATGGAGGGAGGTTGCAGAGTGCTCCAAAAAGATCTAAGCCAAAATAAACAAAAGACTTCTATTCTCATACCCCTACACTTCCATGAGCTGATAGTTATAGTAACGGAAAAGGGTCTGATATATCCCTGTACTATGGTAAATTGTTTAAAATTATCCCCCGTTATACTATTGGGCCATAAAAGTTCCTACCGTCCAACTATCCTAACAAATCTGCCCTTAGTTTGACGGAGGTGCCATGGCATCCATCCTTGCCTCTTTTTAAATCTGAGCACATAAGAGACGACCCGCTCCATGAAACCCACCAACCCATAACCCATTTCTAAACCAAATAATACCCATTTCGTCCATTTTATTTTCCTGTTTCATTTTCTTCTCTCACTAACTATCTAGAACATGAAAATACTCTCCAGCTTTGTCCATTTTATTTTCGGATTAAGTTTGAACTCTTTCCCCACATCAACAAATGTGCAAGCCACATGTATTGCTCTCCGCTAGTTTTTTTTTAATGAATTTGTTAGCTTGGTACTTATTTCTTTTGTTAAAACAAAACAGAAGGCAGTAGAGCAGCATATTCACTTGTGTGGCAGATGCCTCTTCCTGATTTTTCAAATGAAACATCAAAAGCAATAAAATCACTAGAAGAGAATATATCTCTCTCTATCTATCTATATACTCTCTCTCTCTCTCTCTCTCTCTAGATGCTATTCGGCCTTCAATGGCTTCTCCTCTCGACCTTATGATGATTCAACAATCTGAAGGTTCAAAAATTATTTTTTAATATTTTTAGGCCGTTCCTATTTCATTTCTCTGTTTTTGTTTCGTTTTTAGACCTTAAATTTGTTTTTCTATTTTGGTTTTCGTTTTATTGGGATTCTTCACTAAATCGGTTGTTCTTCCGCTTCTCCGACATTTGGATTTTTGTTTTTTTAAGTTGTAGAAATTTATTTTGGAGAACAAGAGTAACATCTATTAATCAAATAGTAATCTCTATTCAGAAGATATGTATGTATGTTTTTGAATTTTTTGCTAAACCAATATGCAATATAAAAATATCTCTTTGGTTTATAAATGGATTATGGGTTGGTGGGTTTCATGGAGCGGGTCGTCTCTTATGTGCCCAAATTTAAAAAGAGGCAAGGATGGATGCCACGTGGCACCTCCGTTAAACTAAGGGTAGATTTGTTAGGATAGTTGGACGGTAGGGACTTTTATGGCCCAATAGTTTAACGGGGGATAATTTTAAACAATTTACCATAGTACAGGGATATATCAGACCCTTTACCCTTATAGTAACTATAATTCATCTTGTCCGGTAATTCCTTGACACATGTACCTCAACCTGGATCCCAATTGTAGTCCAATAACCTCTTATTGGTATGTTTCACATTCTGACCCGTGCATAACTCATTCCCAGGCCCAAGTACTTCGTTGTGGTTTACCCCGTTTGTAACAATTCTCCCGCCCTCGAAAAGAACCTTGTCCTCAAGGTTCGAGTCAAGAATCTTGCAACCAACAAATGTTGATGTCCGACTCTTCAATATGGTTGCAAATGATATCCCAAAGTCCGTTAGTATCATGACAATTTCTTGTTTCGTCCCTTGATTATGGATTATGAATCCTGGTATTCTATAGGAAAAATTGAAACCATTACTAGAAGGAAGCCTCCAGGCACCATTTAGAACTCGTTTGCCACAATACAAGGATGATCTTACAGTAACTAAATATATGTCCCTGGTTTCTTCAAGAATCAAAGCAAGTATATGTCCAACATTTGAAAAACCAATGAGTGTTGTCTGAAGCAACATGACTCCAACATATGCTTCATATCCTTGCAAGATAAATAGAAAAGGGAATAGCAGCAGTAATGGACAATGTATTCCAGCAGTCAAAGCACCCAATTCAAGAAGAAATCTAAGCTTAACAAGATACACAACAACAAGGAAATTGAAAGCCACGGATGGAAACTGATTTGAGGAACAAACCAAACTCTGGTCAAGAAAATGAAGTACACCACTCGACACATGAAAAGGTTTAGCATTTAGCTCTGGTTTGTCAGTATGGTCCAATATAGAGAGGTCTAGGCTAATAATGTAGGAAGCACCTAAAATGATCCATAGAGGTGACTGTAAGGTAGTGTTGTCAATAACACTCAAGTGAATAGGTAAATAAAATATCTGAAGGTTCTGGCAACATAGGAAAGAGGGCATATATGGGATTGTAATTTTTCTTATTTGCACAGAGCTCTCAAGGAAATCAAGTACCTCAAGCTCAACGCTAGTTTCAGGCAAAGAAGACATATCGGTTCGGAACATTTTAGAGTCGTCAAAGGGAATATCACGATACCTGCATGAAATACAAGAAACAAATTCATTGATTATCTGATTGAAAGTTGTGCACCAGTTGCAGTATATCTGGTTTCGTGAGCCTAGCAGAGGGATCCCAAAGGCAAAACGAGCATGTAAATATTTTTCCAAGTGCTCTTGCAGTTCCAGAAACCCTTCCTTCACCAAGCCAAAGAAAACATGTACATGTAGAATATAGTTGTCGAATGAGCAGTTCGAGAGATCACCAATCAGAGTCAAGAATTTGTTAGAACTTCTAGGAGTATCTACATGATGACTTGAATTTTGCATCAGGAAAATGAGCTCCTCTGAAATATGGATATCTGCTTCCCCCCTCAAAACCATTTTGGTAGCAGAGTTCACTGATTCAAATATGCAAGAACTAAACAAAATCACCTTTCTAGAGCTATCTTTACTATGAACTCCACATGAGTACAAAACTTTGTCATTTAGGACATCACCAAGATTCAAATAGGTATAAGATAGAGCATGGTGGAAATAAACTTTCACAGCGCCTAGAGGTATATCAATCCCATTAGCATCTATGTATTCTACCTCAAACACTTGCTCATTATCTCGGCAAATCTTAACAAGCTTGTCGTGAAAAGCATGGACATGTTGCACGGTAACAATTTGTCGTGAGTAAGCTAACCAATAGAGTATTGCAACATCATGGAGTTGTACATCTGTTCCATGAAGATAAGTGAAATCAATGAGCTCAACGAGTCCAGATTGTTCCCTGACTAATATAGACTGATTTACACCAATAAGCCTTTAACCTGCACAAAGAAGTCGTGCCAAATCTTTCTGCCCAGTACCAAACCAAGTGCAACTCGGGAAACCAAAGGCTGGTTGAAGCCACGGCAAGTGTCGATTTAGCACCCATGTTTCTCCAATCATTACTCTGCCAGATAGTTGATCCAAAAGCTGGCGCGCATACTCCATTTCGTACATTCCATCTGATGCATCCAACACGGCAAAAGAAATATTGCAGCAGAAGTTTGTGTCTTGTGTGTGTTGATTCATATTTGGAAAAAAGGGTAGAACAACCTTTGCACAGACGTTTTGAAATGAAAAACACCGCCCATGTTCGACAAAAGAGTATTGAGAATTGGCAGATACATGTGGCATAGGAAAAATGATATTTGCAGGAGATAGCACACTAGTGAATGCCAAGGAACAAGTATACAGGGCATCGTCGAGTAGCAAAGCAAGGTATACAACTTTGTCGAGTAGGCGGCGGGGACGAGCACTTGAAGATATCGCAGAGAATGAATATGAATTCTGCCAAAATTCTGAGCCAGCTACGCTTGATTCGACAACGAAGTACACTGAGTGTGTACTCCTTCTATATCCATCACCAACAAAAATGATCGACTGCCCGGTGTCAAACCAATTGTGAGTGTGTGAGCCAAAGTTCTGTTGGAGCCACCAAGACTTTCCATAACCAACAAGTAGCATACCATACTTCCCCAAAGTTCCAAGATTTTCTCTCCTATTGGGATCTTTTTGAGTGCGAAGCTTTAAGGAGTCTGTAGTGAACTGTTCATTTCCAAAGAAATTTACAGTCACAATAGGAATTAAACAGTCCAGAGAACCCTGAGAAATAAAAAATGAGTCCTTATGGAGGAATGGGTTAAGCGGGTCATCGTTATTTCTTTGGACATTTTCGTCGAACACCTTGTCCGCAGTGCTTGAATTTTCATAATCCATGGCAGATTCAATCACAATAATAATGACCTGTGCAGCTGGCTGCTCTTCACAGCTGCTGATACAAACTATTGCAACACTCTCCATTGTGTCTTCCAGAGTGGTCACCTCTGTTTTTGCATCATCCAAAGCCCTTAATTGCCCAGTATCAA